CAGTGCGTCTGACGTAAATGGTAATGTTCACACAAACTAACGATTTATATCTCACGGGCCCTTAGCCTTAAAGGCAGCAAGTAAAACCGACCAGTGGATAATATAGAAATTCTGAACGCTAAGTAACCTGACAACAGAACGCGACAGCTAGGCAGGCCAGCGAAGTGGACTGCTCGGGTGCGTTGTTCTTCTTCACATTCAAACAAGCAATACGGGCAAAGAAGACGGGACTAAATTTTCAAAGGCAAATTCTTCCGGTACCTCATCACATAACCTTAAGTCGCATCAGACGATGCCAAATTGCTGCCTAGAGTCGGTGGACCATGCCATTCTTGCGGGTTGCAACAGTCTTGAGACCGCCTCGGAGACCTCTTTAACGTAGGGAAAATGACCCGCCAGGCTTCGGGTTGCTGCTGATTTGGCCGTCGCCTGCTTCTCTCGATAAAATGTCTGGGGTAACCATTGGCTGCAAAGAAGCTATGAAGGTACAGTCGTTCGGCCCTTTTATCTTCTGGCGTGCTACCGTGTGTTTCGACTCTTTGAAATAGAGTGCGGACAGTTACATTTGTGAAACACAGAATGATTGGGTAAGATGTGGTTATGCAGCTGCACCTGATGAACACAAGACTGTTGGCATGGTGTTGCTGTGCGTCGCGGTGTGCGTTCTGCTGTCGGCCTTGTTTCTTTGTTGCCGTGTCTACCTTTTTTGGCCCGATACCGGTGGTCCTTCTTGACTTTCAGCCTGCCTTCTCCTTCTAACTTTTGCGTTGGGTGTTTCCGGGTTAGGGTTTAGGGCTGCGGTTAAGAGTTAGAGCAGCTGTTTTTCAACTACCCAAAGTGCAACCGCGCATTCCTAATAACTTTCCTTTTGCCTACAATTATTTGACCTAGTCACCTGTGCGTTCCGCGCCCCCACCTGTAAAAACCCCCTGTTATCACCCGTCCCGTACTACAGGTGGCTGGAGTTTGTTTACCTCAGGTGCGGCTACACAACCACATCTGACTGATGATCGCTGTTTAAATGTAGGATTCGCCTCGTGTCGGTGGATTTTCTGAACACTGTGGTTTTCAGTTGTCCATTTGTACACCGGTGCACAAACACGTCAAGGAAGGGCACTTGGTTGTTCGTTTCTGCTTCCATTGTGAATTGGATGTCGGGGCTAACCGAGTTCATTTGTTCTTTTAGGTGCTTAATGCCAGGGGTATTGACAACAACGAAGGTGCCATCGAAGTAGCGGGCCCGGAACTTCGGTTGATACATGGTGAACGCTAAGTGTTCTTTCCGTTGAAGAACTGCCTCAGCAATCAGGCTTGGCAGAGGGGAGTCCATGGGAGGGTCGTTCATTTGTTCATACATTTGTCTACCAAGAGTAAAATAGGTCTTGAGGCAGCGTCGCAGAAGCTCGAGCAGATGTTCGGACTTCAGGGGCTTGTCCCTCTCCTCATATCGCTCAGCCGGTAGTTGGTCCACAACGTCTATCGCCAGATGCTGTGGAATGGAGGTGAGGAACGAACCGACATCAAATGATACCACGGATTCGTCTGGCTCTAACTTAAGGTTTATTATGCGCTCGAGGAATCGGTCCGCAGATGCTACTGTTGCTAGTTAGCCTTCGGTCAAAGACTTGAGACGACTAAACATCCGTTTTGTCAAACTGTACGTCACAGTGTCATGATGGGATACGATCGGCCTGAGTGGGACATTTGTCTTGTGTACCTTCGGCAGACAGCAAAAACGGAACGTGTCGGGGTCAGCGGGTTTCATGGAAAACCAGTCGTTGGGCGTAATTGCCCCTCCGGCCCCGAGTATTCCTAGGCTTTTTTTGTCCGGGTGGCTGGATTTTTCATTTCGCTGGCACGGAATTGTTTGTCGGAGTGCGGGCACTCCAGAATCCTACGAAGGGGGCCCTCTCGTGTCATCCTGCTTCTCTTCAAACAATTTGCGCACAACCGCGACAGCCAAGTCTACCAAAGCTGATCCGACCACTCATGCCTGTTTGACCGATATGGCCAAGTTAAACATTTTGCTTCATAGCACCGGCGAAAAATCGAGGGACTGAATTAATCGATGCCTTCAACCCTCCTCAGTTGTAAACATGCCTGCTGCTAGAGATGTCTGTATTGCTAGGCACCTTCAACTCTTATTTAGTGACGAGGTATGACAGGACCAAATGCATGGCGACGGGTTCTCGAGTACGCAGCCTTGCTATAGAATTTAAATCAGTCTGAAGATGTCAGCGTCAACTTCTTGTACTTGTACTTGATACGGCTGCGATCATGCCTGATCTAGCCGGTCTCGATGATGTCCCGAATTGTACCTCTCCACGCGTGACGATCCGCGGCAGCAGATCTAGACAGCTCAACCCATTCCCTTCGCCAACGACGGAGACCGAATACCGAAGGTCCAAGAACCACCTCTATGTCTTGACGGACAGTGTCGAGCCAGGTTTTGAACTGACCCCTCAGCGTCAACAGCGCGAAAAATACGTCTCGACACCCACCCGCGAATGACACCTCAGTTAGATCAAAGGGCAGGCTACTATGCTTTACCGAGGGACTTGACGACATCTTCCCTGGCATTCACTTCATGAGGAATAGCGGAAACAGAAACTACCCTTCTTCGAGGTCTACATCGAGCACGATTCTGAGGGTAAATACCGTCCCGTAGCGCATAAATAGGCCACCTTACTGATCCGGGTGTCAGAACTTTCGTTGCAACAATACCCCGAAGGTCGGCAGCAATCCGGAGGAACAAGTACAGGAAAGTCGGCCTCCATGGGGCCAGGTTTTAAGAAACAGCTAGCAGCCGTCACCTCTGGATGTGCCCGCATTTCCTTCCATGAAGAAGATATATCAGAGGCGACAAGGCGCACCACCAACGGTTTCCGTACATGTATGACCGGTCATCTGGAAGTTTTAACGCGTAAAGAGCCAAACTCAGTTCCTACGTTTTGGCCCTGCAACCTGTTTCGCCATTAAACGGAGCAGACCGCACGACTCAGCTCGCGAATACGCCCACCGGCGTGTCGTAGGGACTACCAGCTTTCACACATCACGGCGCAAGACCATAAAACCAACCTCATGCATCGGAAAAGACGGGGCTGGTGGGGGTCTAGGTCTCCTTTAACAACTCCGTAAACAGGAATATCTCTTTCCCTTGCATACCATCAACCGCACACCCACTGTCAAGGACATATGCAGCGCGAAACTCGTAGTTGTGTGTCCGATGACAAGTACTCCAGTTTGCTCATGTGTCTACCTTCACTAGCGCCTAGCAACTGGAGGAAATCCCCAGCGCTACATCGGGGAACCCTTTTGCATCTATCCCCTCTACCGCAAGTAGTCAGTACCAAAGACGGAAACCGGCCTACCCAGGCTTAAACAGGCGCTGCGGGAGGCCGTTTGCCTAATGTACAGTAGGTGGGCTAACTCGTGAAATGTCAACCGAAATTCCGAAATGCGTTTTCGTCTTGAAAAGACTAAATGAATAGTGTTGCAAAACTAATGATCTTACAGCATAATACCATCATAATGCAGTTACCTCAGGACGCCGTCTTTCGAAAGAACTTCTTCCCGGTTGCATGCATGAACTATGCTCTGCAAAAAAGTGACTACTTAAGTGGCATGCATTTTCCTCATTGATTTTTGATGCCCTTAAAAATCCAGTTATACTTCATGGAGAACATACATAAAAATACTCATTCTTTTGCCCATTCGGCAGAAAATTATGTCTTCTTCCAATTTCATATTCGAACGAAGGGCACGATTGGGTTTTCAGAAACTTTTCCAATTTTCGAATAATTTTGAACCAGACCTGCTGGTACACTTGCATTCAGGGTTTCCATACCAAAAGCCGCATATTTTAGGCGTACGAAGAACCATACATTTCTTCACGGCATTAAGGCGAGACTATATGGAGTTCATAAAATATGGCAGTGGACATGAGCAGTATTGTTAACTTTACAAGCAACACTAGTAGATACAGAGACACGACGTTTTATGAACGGTCATTTCACGGTATTAAAATATCTCACAATTAGAAACTCCTTTAAAGGCGAATCATACCTTGTCATCGAGTATAAAATTGGAGGCAAACGTAATTTTCTGCCGAATGCACAGTAGAATGAATATTTTTATGCATGTTCTCCATAAAATATAATTGGATTCTTAAGGGAGCCGAAAATCAATAGGAAAAATGCATGCTACTTAATTAGTCATTTGTCGCAGTGTAGTTTTGGCATGCGGCCGGAAAGAAGTTCGCCCAAAAGCCTGCATCCTGCGGTAAGTGAATTATTACAGAATGATGCTGCATGATGATTAGTTTTATAACCCTACTTGATTACTTTTTTTCGAAACGAAAACGCATTTAGGAATTTTGGTTGATATTTCACAAGTCAGCCCACCTACGGTACAAATGGCCCCATTCTGTAAAGGGAGCGCATGCCGGGAGTTCCCAAGTTCCCGCATGCGTAATGGGGTCGTTACAAAATGCCGAGGTCCCCTCCCGGGACTTGGTCCAAACCTACATTCATGGCATGTCACGATCAACAAGAAGCCAGGTCAAGGGTTGTTCGTCACACTCGTTACAGTGACACTGCCCTGGGGAAAAGTCCAGGCACGGTTACGCAGTCCGATGTCCTGCAGCAAAATACTGAGGAACTGAGAGGTTTTAGATGTCAATAACAATACGCAACCCTGCTGGGGAACCGTTTAATTTTAGCCTTCGGAAGGCGATAAAGTGGCCTCAAAAAGAATACAGGTGCACATAGTCAGACTTCTGAGAAAGGAGTCTTGATGACCTAAATATTCTGTTTTTAGTATGACCAAAAGTGTGCATATATAAGGAGGATAAATTAAGAGGCTTGGTAAGTCAATTACTTGGCGGAGATGAAAGATTACAAAATCGTAGCAAGACATGCACAAGACGTCTGTAGTTGTCGCATGATGAGGAGAGCTTGAGATGAGGGACAGGGAAACGAAATCTTGCAAAAGCAAAGAGTCTAGGCGGACTTTTCTTCCGCAGGCGGGGAATTGAGTCGAGCCGTGCCAATGTTGACCGAGGAGGCGAAACAGAGCCATAGAACGTAGGGCAGCATCAACAGGCCAGCGGTGGGATTTACTTTTTGAAACAGGTAGTGACAACCGAAGGCGCTGAATGTCGTGGCGAGAATGATTGCGACAGACTGAATGAGGGAAAGAGGTCACGGGTTACCCCGAAGTGAACGAACAAAAATTGCCTTCTTCACCACTCATAATCTTTTGTCTGTAAGAACGCACAAGCATCGAAGTCGCGATGGTCACAACTACCAACGTGCAGTGACAATAAACCACTGCACTGATATTTGATCAGAATTGCTAATCCAAGCGGGTTAAAACCGGAATACGATCAGAAAACTGGGCCGATGCCAAGGGACGACGCTAGACAGGCATTTTGAAGTTACTAGGTTAACTACAACGATGGTAAAGCAACAAATGCCGCTGCAATATTTCTTTAGTGTAGGCATGGAACATAACCTTGAGCTAATACTTAGGCCGATGGCAATCAGAAGCACACCTCTGAGGTATGTATTTCTCAGAATTAAAAAACGATTGCTCTGGTCGGCAGTCAATTGTACATGTAACACGCTCCCTTTCTTCTTGTGTATTGACTCGTCTTCTACTATTAATATATTTTTAACACTTACTACTTTTTCTTATGATATGCAAGTACGTGTGTTTGGCGTGGTGATTATCAATTTTGTTTAGTGCTTCTGTGGCCCAGAAAGACTCAAAGTGCCTTACTAGACCGTGGGTGTGTCGTCCTCAACGTCGTCGGCTGCTACAGAGACGGACTGGTTGGGACCATAGAAACCTTGTCTTCGCCACTGTTACTACCCGTAACCGCCCAGACATTCTTTAGTCCCGAACCGCCTTGGATCTCTTAACCGATTCAAGAGTATATGTCAACGGTTAATCGAAAGCCGGAGTAGCAACGCTTATCACAGGACTTCAAACCCAGACTCGAGAATGAATATGGCGGTAGAACGAACAAAAAGCAGGCGCGAATAGGCCGTGTATCCAGGTCAAAAGAATCACCATACGGAAATGTCTAAGGACAAGAGAGTAACTTACAGTCTTAAGGCGGTGCATCCCGAAAAAGACTGGCGTCCATGAGAAATTTAGTAGGAGATTGGCGCCATAAACAGCTATAGGGAGACGCACATCCTGTTGTCCAGCCTCCTTGATTACAAGGTACGATGCGGTGCCCATGCAACCGTAGAGGATGCTCCAGGCCGGCATGAAGATCCACTCAGGCGGTGCATGTGGAGGTCGCTTTAAACTACGATACCACTCCATGTTGCGCTTGATCACCGGGGATCCGAGGAATCCACCAATGTAGGGGGTAACCACACAAGCTGCCAAAGTACCGTACTGCATGACACTAAAGAAAATTTAAGTAAACATATGTTCTAGTTGTTGAAGGGTGAATTATAACGAATGCGATAGGAGAACTATGGAGTGTCATGCCAACATAAGCCCCAGGCTAAATTCCACCTTACCTACTACTTTTCTATTTCTCTTTTTAGTCTCAGTACGTCAATTGTAAGACGAATAAAGCCCTGTTATAGGGTATTCTCGTTCTGACTCTTACAGCCATAATCGTGTGCTTGCTACGGTCATAACTACTACATGGAGTGATTTACATCAGTCGCGACAGCGGGTGCTACTTGCACAAACTTAGGCAAAGATCCCCACGAACATCCAAAAGATGTACGCGGGGAGCAGCGAGATGGAGGATTAGGGAGCTGGATGAAGCCGGAAGTAGCAGGTTTGATGTCAGAAAAAAACCGAAGAATATAGAATTGATCAATAGGTTTGTTAAAATATTCTTAAACTTGCTTACGACCTCGTGTGGGAGCAAAACGGATCGGATTAAATAAAAACATCTACAGTAGGTTAGAGTGATCGCTACTCCAAACAACACAAAGCACATTACGGGTTGGTAATCAAAACGCCCTTATTGTTTTAGCTCGTTCGACAACTTATGTTAAATAAGTGAAGGGGCGCGTTCCAAGAAGCAGTCGGAAAGAAGGCAACAAGAGCTTTATTTGCCTGACCCGACCACACATTCAAGTTCGATCAAGCCGAAATTCCGAGAACGGTGACAACCGCGTGAGCCGCAAACTTCTCTAGTTATGGTTCTCTGGCCCTCAGCCGAGTAACACGGAAGATGACCATCTCCGTTACATTCTGTGTTGAGACTGCCTAGGCATAGTAAATAGCCGCTCGGGGAGCACTGTTTCCAGTTAGTGGGTCCAAGAACCCAAACGAGTAATGATATTTCAAAAATTAACGACTCGGCTGCAGGCAATTAAGCAAATATCGTACTATATGCAACAATCCGAGCTGGATATGCCAGCCGCAAATTTTGACGAGCACTTTTACTTGGTAGAACTGTAATCATGACTGATCTAGCCGACCTCAATGGTGTCACGGACTGGTATGCAGCAGTACAGCGATCTCATACTACAAGTGCCGCAACATATGCGTAATGCAGTAACCTCATCTGAGTTTGACTCTGATAATAGACCCTAATTTGAATTCCCGTGATCGACTTTCCTCCAATCTTACTGCTAGTTGGAGCTCGCGATTTCTTTTCCACTGAAAAATTCTGGAATCTCTACATTTTCTGGCACAATTCGATCATCGTTTGTTGGCGAGTTCATCAGTTGTTAGAGCTATTTTAATTCGGGCATATTCGTTATCACCAGCCAACGATGCTCGGGTCCAATGACCGTGTCGTTTTTCCCGATTTCTTGTGGTAGGAAAAAGTGCATCTATGCATTTGGTCCCAACATTGTTCTCGGCACTTGTGAGCAGCAGAACGATAGCTACTTTCGGTGGAATCAAAGGTCAAGTTACAGACGTGTGAATAAATACAAATACTTTGGAGTGGGATGAGTTATAACACATAAATATTAAGGATGTTTGACAAAGGTCTCACACGCGGGTAGTCATGTGCTGTTCGGCGACCAATGGGCTGGACAGGCAATCACGGAAAGAAGCATTTAACTACAGCACTACCGGTACTCCGAGCAGAACTTGTACATTTGCAGGAGAGGGCAATTCTTACCAGTTGCTTTCTGTTACCCAGTTTTCCTATACTCGGAGGCATCTTTACAATAACTGACTGCAGTCATCGCGGACCCGGAGGTGAGGCTTACCACAAAGCGTGTTTCGGAAGTGTGCTTCGTTCCGGATGCTTGTTTTTGACAAAATCGACTGCGGTCTGCATTAGTTACGGGACGGTCTGGGGTCGAACACCAGACGACCGTGCAAGCGCTAGGGTTGTAGAGGGTGCCAAGAATGCATGTAGTTATTGTTACCGAGCCGCTTTATCAATCGGTTTTACCCCGTTGGTTGGGTTCCGCCGACTAATTTGGTTTGGAACTCGTAGTTGTGTCAGTCGCAGCAGAAATAAACATCAATTTTTGTCGGACTCGATAGTTCTTCGACTTGCAAGAAAGGAACGTGGAGGCATATAACTGGGGAGCCGGAAAGCTGCAACAACAAATTTGCTACTTAGTGGAGATTAATGAGCTAGAAAAGGACGGCTTATCTTAGTGGGGCTGTGTGCATTGGAGACGAGGCACTGATGTGAGACGCCCTGACCGGTTACTTTAGGTTGATAAGACCCATTCATAAAGATTCCACAAGGGCAACGCTTCCTAGCGGGTATATTTTTATCCAAATACTGAATATTGACTATGACGATTTCATTCATTTCGCGCTATCAACCTTCGCAGTTTCAAATGAATTTGACGGACTTGCATACTTTATGCATGGCATATGCCATTAAAGGGTAGACAGAGCCCTAGTAGCAATAGATATCGAGTCGATATACGGATAATATCTATTTATCGAGATTCTAGCTCTGAAACGTCATTGGTTATTACTCTTATGCAATTTGGACGCTGTGTCTAGACACAGTTATGGAACTTAGTAAGTGCGAAAACAGCCCGATGCCTTACTGCTAGAATGTGAACAGATATAGGACTCGAGTCAGGCATGCTCAATTGTCTAGGAAAAAAGTAATTGGGAGCACAGCGGCTAGCAGACAGGCATTCGGGCTGCAAATACAAATTACGGGAAGAATTGAAAACGGAAGGAGTTAAACAAAGCTGGGATTGAGAACACGACGAAAAAGAGGAGACGTAACGGGAATTCCTCAAGGAGAGATATAATTGCAACGCAGAAAGTAAGGAGAAAATGTGCCGAGGACGAGTGTTACAACGGCCGACGGCCGACAATTCAAACCACGCGCCCGAATCCCCTATAACCTTTAGATAATTTCAAACATAAAAGGACGCTCGTGATGCCGGAGTCGGAGTGAAACAGCTGTTTTCCAATTCCCTGAATATTGCGTGCCCTTTGACAATAGTTTTGTTTTTTGAGTATCTAGATTCTGCTGCATTGGTACCTGCGAACGCACTCTGTCGCATGCACTGGCCAGATAACTGACGATAACTGTTTAACCAATTCAGAAATAGTTCTCCAACGGCACCTATAACTGTCGGAATACAGACCAAGAGCGAACGTGTACGCATTGCGACGTGGATAATGATTACAGGGGAGTTGAAAAAAACAACTGAGAATACTACAGCGGAGGAAAAGGTCGGAATAAAATCAAGCAAAAACACGTGGAAGCAGGGAAAGGTTCGTAGAAGAAAGTTAAATTCTGACCTGGCAAGTGTATAAATTGCAATTTAAGTTACAATCAAAAATATTCTAAGATTAGTTTTGAATGACATTTGAGGATGTGGTAAGTTTAAGAAAAGTCGTACAAATTTGTCGGATTTGAAATATCAGAGTTACTGATTTCTAAATTTTTACGTCACGTCTACTAAAAAAGATCCGGGAATGGTGACTAGCTTTAGCGCCATGCAAAATAACTATTTCTGAACGTCATTGAAATAAGTATCCAAAACAAAATGAACTTAACATGAAGATACATTCGAGTTTGCTTTGAATTACTGGTTAAATGTGTTCAGTTTCAAGGAGTCCCCACTGATGAACTCGCATGCCCACAACTTTTCCCTCCGAAGCACACGTAAGTTAACTGAAAAAGACTGCTATTCACACACTTCATGCTATTTCCCTCTTTTCAATAATTATAATGATAGTATGCATTTTTGAATTATGCATACATACTAGTATGTATGAATTAACAGTGCACTTTGCAATAATAATTATTATATTGTAATAACTATTGCAGAGTACATTGTTAAATTACTCGATGATATCTGCCTGAGGTATGACGTCCGCAGACGTAGTAAATCCTTCCACCTATCTCTTGAGTGTGAAAAGTGAGAGCACGCCTTACCCGGCCCTCGTTGACCGGTTTCGGGTCTGTGTTGGACCCATATTTTACTGTGACCAGGGCCGCGGCCGCCCTGGTTGACCGCGTATATAATTAGCGTCCATAATTACTTCGCGCCGTCACGCGCAAATAAATTATTTGGCGGAGGACTTCCGGGCTTCTCTGCATCAGCCCTGAGGTTGTTGGCCGAGGCAATGATTACATGTTTGGGCGGGTTGAAAGACGCCTAGCCGTTTTTCCACCGACAGCTCCATCAACAACTGCACAAATTAACTTGCCCCCAATTTCGTTTTATGAATTTTCTTCGCACGAGGCAGTTATGACGAGGGACCATTGGGGCCGCCAATCATCTCCGCAGTCAATGAGGGGAGGGAGGCCAAACTAGTCATATTGAAATGCGAATCCGATGTAGCCCCACACGAGGTCAATTAGGGTCATGTACATAGAACTGTGTGCGTGAATTTCCAGTGTCTGGGGACGGACAGACGAATCACTACTCGGAACGCCAGACCCGCGTCTGGCCAGCCCCGAAGGAACCTTGCTTATGACACGCAACCTAGGAATTGCATTTCTGTTGTTATTAACATTATGGATTACTTCAATGACAAAAGCATCATCCACGTTTTACAACAGTTCTTTTTTTGCAGGAACCGCCGATTACCAGGGGAAACCCTTTAATGTCCATTGGAGAACTGCATCCCTACCTGTATTTTTTTTACCGAGTTCTCATTTGCAAATACTCAATAAACCCTCGTTTCTAATCATTGTCTCTACACTTTCCTATGCCGTGGGATAGAGTGAACGCTAGCGAGGTTGTCCGGTTGTGCACTTACGCGGGATGTTTATCGCTGATTTGCTCTAGCCGAAGCTGGGAGGATCCGGTAACATGCAATCGTACTGCGATTTTCGACAGTTTAGAACAAGTGCGCTCGCGAGTAAAAAACGGAAGCCATAAAGGGGCGGGAAACGAATTGAGAATGGGGAGAACCTGTAGGTTGTCCGGTTGTGCGCATACGCGGGTTTTTATCACCGATTTGCTTTAGCCGAAGCTGGAAGGCTTCAGTGAACTGTAATCGTACTGCGTCAGCCGAAAGTCCACAATTAGTGCACTCGCGAGTTAAAAAACGGGGGCCATAAAAGGGTGGAGGGACAATTGGAGAATGGGGGCGCCGCCACGCATTTTTTTCGAATGGTGTGGCTAAACGTGGCTGTGGTGTCGAAGGCCACGCCTTAGCCACGCCAAATGGCCACGTTTGACCGCGTCGTAGACACGTCTTGCGGTGGCGGCAAGGCGTGGCCGGCCGCGGCTGGTGATGGCAGGGTCTTGATGTGATAGTGTTTTTTTGCTCCAGGTTTTGAATAGTGAAAGTTAACTCGAGAATTGTGGATTGTTGCGAGAAATGTTCTGTTGTAAACTGGATGACGTGACCTAGGGCAGTAACCAGTAGTAGCGAGTCTGAAAACGTGTTGCTCTATTGTTCTTCATACTATACAGAGTATCAGCAAGGTCAAATGGGAGGAGATGGACGACCTGTCTTTGCAGGCGAAACAGTCAGCCTGATGATGTAACGAACCGCAGATATGACCTCCACATTTCGGGTCCCCAAATGGAGAAGTCGAATTCTGTGAATTTTGCTGCCGACTAAGAAAAAGTTGCCTGATTAAATACTTACGGTACCTTAAGGTACCAGTGACGGTCATTGTAAATAGCGGATAATTTTCGAAATGTCAGCGTTCCTTAGTAATGTATTTTTCTTGGTATTTAAACCAACACAAAAAAATGAAGTACGCCTTTTTGTACGGGCAAGATAATAAAGTATGAAAACATCACGATGATTTTCACCACAATGCCGTATATGATAATTCAAAGCAGGACACGAGTTAAAGCTTTATTCTTTGATGGATTTCACGTCAAAATGTCCCTTATAATTAATGACGAATTCACAACTAAGTAGCCCTAACGACATCTTGGAGAGCGTAATGGGTCAAAGTTCAGTGTTGCAGAAGTATGTATATTTCTGGGATAAAGAGCACATTGATTCAAATGCGTTCTTTCCCTACAACACAGAAAATTAAAATATAAGAGGCTGCCATCGAAGCGCGAAAAAATGCAGATTCCAGAACGCAGCTGAAAAGGGGCACCACTGGGATAGAAGTTATTCTCCCGGTCTAGGCGGATCACATTCAGTAATGTGGCTTGATCGTCCCTGAAACTTTTCGATTAGGTAACTGCTTCGCCACGTCCACAGTCTCCATGTTTGGTTTTTATGCTCAAGTTGTGCTCTTCTGAAGATTCTGAAGACTTTGAGGAAGCATTCACTGTCGAAAATTGCGAAAACCTGTTTGAAGACGCCTATCAGGAAAGTTGTGGAATTGGCCGCGTTTCAACAGTAAGTATGAACCTCTAAAGTGTTCGTAGTCCAAACTTCGAGGCTCTTCTGTGTTTCTGCCTTCCAGAGTGGCATTTCGTTTAGACGGCAAGGGCGCTTACTGGGGACCTGGTTTCGACTTCCGAGATGTGACATGGAACAGCTGCATGCTGTAAACTGCAAGTGCCATGGACAGCATTATTCCACCAGTCGAAAAACAATTCTTGCAAGTTCGCCTCATCGGCAAGAGTAGGGATCCATATTGACACAACTGTGAAAAAGTCGGCACCTCGGTGGGAGTCAAACCCACGCAGTAAGGAGAAGGCTTTAGTACATCCAACGCTCTAACCACTTGAGCTACGAGGTTTCGCCGGACGACGCGAGTTTAAACTCGAAAGGTAGGAGGGAGGTCCAAGTCGTTGTTGGTTTCCACCTGGCGAGTCGGTCAATGGTGGTGTTGGAAATCGTGGATAGACGGTTGAGGACACTTCTGAAGTGCTTGATCCAATATTCCAGAATCTGCGAATTTTGGCAAGGGGTGTTGGTCCATTGGAGCTGAGCGTCGGAGCGGTTCCTTTGGCTGTAGGACCAAAAATCGTCTTTATTTACTCGAAAAAGTTCTCCGTTTTATTGTAAACCGCATATTCCTGGACATCCTCGGTCCTGTGAGTCATCCAGATATACTCCATCTCCCACAGTCATTGCTGCAAAAGGCGGCGACATCTGATGAAAGCGTCTTTGTTTGCGTTAGTCTGATGGTCTATTTTGGCCTTTCGGTGAGCAGACTGCTGATATCTGCGTCGCCGTCATCAAAGCAACCCTGATGTGGAAGATGTGTGCATCCAGGGATGTCTAGGACAGTGAAGTAGACGGTTCTCTACAGTTATTATCATCGAGTCTCAGTGATGACGATATCTTCCGGAACCTGTAAGTTCTCCAGTCACAGGTTATCTGTCTGGCCAAACTGAAGCGGTGGACAGGCGGTCGCTTACCACATGGTTTCCTGCGAGGTTCCAGACAGAGTATCATTTTCGGGACGGTGAAACGGTGATCCGTCCAACCGTGCGCGTTGTCGACAGCCTTGGTTACCAGCTCGTCCTGTCAATTTCGCCTCTGGAGGAGAATGTAGTTCAGCAACTGCCGGCGTTGCGATTGTGGGTGAACTCAGGCCGACATCGCCCGCTCGAAAGACGGAAGAGAATGTTGGTCAGAATACGTGGCGTTATGCGTAGGTCTCTAGAAGGAGAAGGAGGCCGTTTTCGTAATAGCCGCCGATTTCATTGAAACCCAACACTCTTCTTCAGTCAACTTGGTCTGTTTCGACTCGGACATTGGCAGCATCGGCGACAATCAGCTCGCCCATCTTCGACACTGTTTCCAGGATGCCATAGACTGCCTTGTATAACTTTTTTCTCACCTCGTTGGATTGGACGCTGGGGATGGGAGGAGCGGCGTGGGCAATGATGAGAGGGATGAATTTGACTACCTGAAAAAACAGTCGCAGAATCATGAGACAGCCGTTAACATCATGCGGCAGTCAGGACTGTCGCCCATGATGTCGCCCGGATGGCAAAAGCGACGCCAGCGTCAAGCTACTGTGAATTTGGGCGGTCGCTCCAGAGGAATGTGCAACCGGCATCCACTTTCTTCAGCTGGCCGAGTACATAGATGTGGGTCTCGCTGAAAGGATCTGCAAGCACATCCGTCGACCTATGAGGTCCTCGCGTTGAACAGACCGTCTGGAGAGGATGAATTAAAACTTAGGCATCAATCTATGAAGCCAACCGTGTCCTCGCTGACAATGCGAAACGAACGTGGAGCGATTTGCTAGCGCCTCGGACTCTTAGACCAAACATCTCATAACTTTTAGCGTGCTCACACTGTCGGCGAACATTCCATACACAGATCGGTCTCGTCGGACGTCTCCGGACCCATTGGATCGGCAGCTGGACAACTTCACTTGCGGAGTCCTCAAACGTCCCCATCGTCACCCCGGCACCAAACTCCACAATGGTGAACTCCATCAGCATATTCGCCTGAGATGATGGCACTTATGATGCCACGACGCTTCATCCGATATCGTCTCCCCCCCCCTACCACCTCTATCGTCCCTCTCACAACCCCTCGAGGACGAATACCACCTCTCCAATAGCCCCAACCCTACTGCATTATCGAAATACTCGTGGATCTTATCGGGTCACTTATGAACCCACCAAACCACAGCCGACTAAACCGTGCCCAAAAGACGGGCATGTTCCCGTTTTACACACTTCGCGTACCCACAGTATCCAAGATACTCGGCGATCGCACTGGCCTGTTCGGTCATGTACATATCAACGAAAATCTGGAGTGGGACACGATCCAGGTCGCATCACACAAGCGCATCTAAGGCGCATAGGATCCTTCTCGGCGCATGCGTATACACGAAAGTTAATAAAAACACACTTCACATGTTACTCATGAAAAATACAAGCGGCTTAATTTGTCACTGACAGTATGACAGAAAAAACGTCTTCCCATTTACGTGAGAAGTGAACTGTTTGACGAAGGTTGACACATGTGGAAGAGGCACCATATCGTGCGTGGCAGGCGTAGGTGGGCCAGTTAGATTTTTGAGTCACGTACGAAATCTCGTGCCTGACTCGGACAAGCCACTGGTGTATACGAGGTCATACTGAGAATCCATTCATTCACCCCTCGGTACAGTCGACCTAACACGTCTGAATTTACGAGTTGTAAAGTGGAAGGCTGCAAAGAGATCGGTCAGATGTGGTTATGTAGCCGCACATAAAAATAAACAAACCCCAGACACCTGTTAATAAGGTACCAGCAATAATAGGGGGTTTTACGGGCGGGGCAAGTGAGAGCATAGGCGACTAGGTCAAATAATTGTATGCAAAGGAAAAACTATTTGGAATGCGCAGGTGTACATTGAGTGGTTGAGAAATAGTTTACATAACCCCTAACACTGACCCATAAACCCTTACCCTAACCCCCAACCCTCGCCCTAAGCCCTAACCATAACCTCAGCACTAATCCCAACTCTAACCCTAACCCTTGACCGTGACCCTAAACCCTAACCCTGAAGCTTCGAATGATGCCCTGTTACTCCTGTCCCGGTCTGATGAATATGCCTGCTTGTCCATCCTGGCTGTAAGACCCATAGCGTTCTGTTAGGTCTATCCTCTCTTCTACTTAATCTCCGCCCACCACGAACTCGGGTCGTTCTCTCACTAACAAAAAGTCGTTGCCCATAGTGGAGTTCCGTGGCCGTCTGGGATAGCCCGGCATCCCTATATAGAGGGTGCGCTCTCTGTTCCCGCGAGAGGGAAGGGGCTGGAAAACGTGTCATAAAAATTGCTGAGAACAACGCTGTCTGTGGGCTGACCGTGACCGCAGACAAGAAACAAACGGTCGAAACGGAAAAAAACCGAAAAAAACACCAATTACTCTCTTACTCGTCCTGCCTATTCTCCTTCTTCCCCTCATTTCCTTTTTCGCCGCCGAAATCGTCAGACTGACAGGGTGAGTCCACTCACTCTGGCCGCCTGGAATGTTCGTTCCCTTATAGACAATCCGAGGGACAACCGACCGGAACGGAGGACAGCGTTAGTGACTCGGGAACTGGCGGGCTGCAAGGTCGACATCGCCGCACTCAGCGAGGCCCGACTCTCCGAACAGGGCCAACTGGAGGAGGTGGGTGCCGGCTAACCTTCTTCTGGAGCGGTCGACGCAAGGCAGAGCGTCGGGACGCGGATGTCGCCTTCGCCATCCGGAACGACATCGTGGGACGACTGCCCTGCTTGTTGCAGGGCATCAACGATCGCCTGATGAGCCTCCGTCTGACACTCTGGGAAGGCAATTTCGCCACCACCATCAGCACCTACGCTCCGCCGATGAGCAGTCCCGACGCCGCCGCCGCCGCCGCAAGAGACAAATTCTACGAGGACCTGCACGCTCTCTTGGTAACTGTGTCGAAGGCGGGCAAGTTTATTGTCCTTGGTGGCTTCAACGTCCGCGTCAGCACAGACCATGCTGCCTGGAGAGGAGTGCTGGGTCCCCATGGTCTCTGCAGCTCAAATGAAAATGGCATGCTGCTTCTCCGCACCTACGCCGAACACCGCACCATTCTGACGAACACCTCCTTCTGCCTGCCGGAGCGGGAGAAGGCCACCTGGAGGCATCCTCGGTCGCGTCAGTGGCACCTGCTGGACTATGTCCTCGACCGGAGACGAGATCAGCGGGACGTGCTGATGCCAACAGCGATCGCGAGCGCTGACGGGTGGACCAACCATCGTCTCGTCATCTCGAAGATGAGTATTCGCCTACAGTCTCGCAGGAGACCACAAGGTAAGCGACCCCCTGGTAACCTGAATGTTGCCTTACTGTCTTTGCCGGCTCACCATCTCCATTTCAGCAATGAGCTAGCTCAAAGGCTAGACAACCTTCCTATCGCGCCGCCTCCGACGCCGCCGCTGCCGAAAACGCCTCCGTGGAGAACCAACGGTGCCAACTACGAGACACGGTCCAGACGACGGCGCTGGCCGACCTCGGTCGCGCACGCCGCCAACACCACGACTGCTTCAACGACAACGACGCCGTCATCAGCAATCTGCTGGCCGAGAAGAATTGCCTACACAAAGCCTACGTAGACCACCCCATCGACGAAAACAGAGCTGCTTTTTACCGCAGTCGCCGCCACCTTCAGCAATGACTGCGCGAGGTGCAGGACGCCTGGACGGCTTGCAGGGCTGAGAAGATCCAAGGGTACGCGGATAACAACGAATGGAAGAACTTCTCCTCCACGATCAAAGCTGTCTACGGTGTGCCGACGAAAGGCACCGCTACTCTCCTCAGCGCCGACGGTAATACCCTACTCACCGAGAAGACACAAATACTACAGCGATGGGCCGAACAGTTCCGAGGTCCCCTCAACCGCCCCTCCACCATCTCTGACGCCGTAATAGCCCGCTTACCCCAGGTAGAGACCAACGTGGACCTCGACCTCCCGCCATCTCTCCAGAAAACCATCAAGGCCGTGCAGCAGCTCTTCAGCGGGAGAGCGCTCTGACCGGACGCGATCGTAGCTGAGGTATAGAAGCACAGTGGTTCCCAACTAATAGATCACCCGTCACCGTTCATCCAGGCGATGTGGCGTCAAGGTGAAGTCCCACAGGATTTCAAATACGCCACAATCTTTCATTTATACAAGCCAAAGGGAAACTGCCTACTCTGCGCCAATCACCGCGGCATCTCCTTGTTAAACACCGCCGGGAAATCTTTGCTCTTATCCTCCTCAACCGTCTGAACAAACACCTCGAACAATGTCTCCCGCCGAAAAGCCAGTGCGGCTTCCGCTGTCATCGCGTGACCATGGATATGATCTTCGCCTCTCGCCAACTTCAGGAAAAATGCCAGTAGATGAGGACCCACCTGTACCCCACTGAGAAGACGCAAATCCTGCAGCGATGGGCCGAGCATTTCCGAGGCGTTCTCAACCGCCCCTCCGTCATCTCCGACGCCGCCATCGAGCGTTTGCCGCAAGTGGAGATCAACGTGGACCTCGACCTCTCGCCATCTCTCCAAGAGACCATCAGGGCTGTGCAGCAGCTCTCCAGCGGGAAGGCACCCGGATCGGACGCAATCCCTGCTGAGGTCTACAAGCACGGAGGTCCCTAACTAATGGATCACCTGACTGCGCTTATCCAGGAGATGTGGCGTCAAGGCAAAGTCCCGCAAGATTTCAAAGACGCAACCATCGTGCACTTATATAAGCGAAAAGGGAATCGTCAAGTCTGCGACAATCATCGTGGCATCTCCTTGCTGAACATCGCCGAGAAGATCCTCGCCGCATCCTTCTCAACCGCCTCAATAACCATCTGGAACAGGGCCTTCTTCCGGAAAGCCAATGCGGCTTCCGTCGTCATCGTGGGACCACGGATATGATCTTCGCCGCCCGCCAACTACAGGAGAAGTGCCAGGAGATGCGTACCCACCCGCACTCTACCTTCGTGGATCTGACGAAAGCCTCTGTCACTGCGAAATATAAAGGACTGTGGAAAATTATGCAGAAATTCGGCTGTCCTGAGTGATTCATTCAGATGGTGCGTCAGCTGCACAACGCTATGATGGCACGAGTCGCGGACAACGGTGCTGTCTCGGAGGCATTCATAGTGACCAACGGAGTGAAGTAGGGATGCCTCCTGGCGCATACACTCTTCATTCTTATGTTCTCTGCCATGCTGATGGACGCCTACCGTAATAAACGCCCGGGGATCCGCATCGCCTACAGGAGGGACGGTCACCTTCTAAACCAACGGCGGATGCGCTTACAATCGCGCGAACCCACAACCACCGGTCACGAAATTTTCTTCGTCGACGACTGCGCCCTGAACACCAACTAGGTAAAGGAGATGCAACGGAGCATGGACCTCTTCTCTGCCGCCTGCGAAAACTTCGGTCTGGTCACTAACAAGCAGAAGACAGTGGACGTGCATCAACCGCCAAACAACACAGCAACTCCTTACAACGCGCCGCAAATCAGCGTGAATGGAATCCAAATGCAGGCGGTGGACAAATTCCCGCACCTGGGCAGCACCCTCTCCCACAGCGCGAAAATTGACGATGAAGTCGCCCGCCGGATTTCGAAGGCCAGTCAAGACTTCGGCCATCTCCAAAGCATAGTTTAGAATCGCGACGGTCATCAGCTCAGCATGAATCTGAAGATGTACAAAGCAGTCATCCTCCCGACGCTGCAGTATGGAGCAGAGACTTGGATGGTGTACACAAAGCAGGCACGCACACTGAACCAATTCCACCTCAGTTGCGTTCGTCGCATCCTGAGGCTGAGTTGGCAGCATCGAATCCCCGATACTGATTTACAGGAACGGACGGGAACCCTCAGTATCTACACCATGATGAGACTAATGCAGCTGCATTGGAGCGGTCACCTGGTGCGCATGGACGACGAGCGACTACCCTAACGACTCTTCTAACGAGACGTCGCCACGAGTTTTCGCCGCCAAGGAGGCCAAATTCCTCGATACCAGGACACTGAAATCCTCCCTGATGCGTCTGTAAATCAATCCGCCCTACTGGGAAGACCTCGCCCACTACCGATCGACCTGGAGGAGGAGAGTGAAGACAGACGCTGCGATCTACGAAGCCAATCGCATCGTTGTCGCCAAAGCGAAACGCGAATCACGCAAATCACAGCTGCGTGCACTCCGCAACGAAGACCCACAACCGCTTTCAACGTGTCCTCGGTGTCAACGGACATTCCGGGCACTAATTGGACATGTTGCACACGTTCGGATCAACTGCACCTCTCCGACCGCGCCAACCGTCGTCTCTCCGCCCGCCTCTTTCTCCTCCTCTCCGCCGCCAACTAACTCTGACTGCTCTTCCGAACCGCCACTTCCATCCTCATCCTCCTCCTCCTCCTCCTCCTCCTCTAGTGTCACAACTTCTGCAAAAGCTTAATTACTACTAATACGCGCAAGAAATCAATGCTGCTTTGAAGCAACCAAGTTTCGCAATCTAAATGACCGAACGAAGTTTTTCGGAGAGTTTTGTTGGCTCGAAGCTGGAGAAACACACTTGACTGCATCGAAGTTTGATTAAGTTGTCTTGCAGCAATAGCTATCTTCTGTGAGGCAATCTATCCCTCTTCTCTCATGCTGAGGCTTTGAAGTTTTTGGGGTTTCTGGTCTGCTGATGCAGTTGTGATATCGGAGCCTTTTAGATGATGCGGCGACTGAAGTCTTGTAAAACGGAGAGGGCACTGTGTCGACTGAGTGATTGTTTCACCTGAAGGCGACCCTCTATTGCAATTCGTTGGCCTCATCTACGGCTTTCCGAGACGAAGCCATTTCCCTGAGATCGTACATGGTTAAGAAGGCGGGTTTTCTAAACCACGCGTTTTGTTAGCACTTTTTTATAGGCAGTCTTGTCGGTTTCTCCGGCGTATTGTCAGCTGCAGCCACTGCAATCAGTATACTCGGAAAGGCAAGATGTAGTCTTTGCTAATTCCATTAAATAAGTACAGAATTAATCAAATGAGTGAATTTCCAAACAGACAGAGCGTCGTCATTTGGTCAATGCGATAATTTAAGTGAGTAATACCAAACATTGCCAAAAAAAACATTAAAAAGTACGGTCAGTAGCGTGTATATTACAATTTGTATGGCGCGCCAGCGGCCTTTAAATGTTAGCATATTTACAAGAGCCGATTTAAATGTTCGAGTTGGAATCCATCAGGTGCTGCGGAATAACTGCGTAATATTTGCAAGCTGCCAACAGCCGGGCCGTTAATATTAAAGGGTAACGCGGGAAATGAAGTTAGTATGCCAGAGAGTACACGGGGAACGCTGTGGACCCATTGGTGAGCTCCATCCCACGCAGCTGCGCCATGCAACGACACATGATCCGCGAAACACGCGTGCCTGGGCTTTAACTACTACCTATGTTGTCAATACCATAAATCATTCGGTGGTCAGATGCGGTTATGTAGTACTACCTGAAGTAAACAAACCTCAGCCACCTGTAATATGGGATCGGTGGTAATAGGGGTTTTTACAGGTGGGCCGGGGAACGCACAGACGACGAGGTCAAGTGATTGAGTCGAGCCAGAATATGGAAGAGGTGGCTTTGCAGCACGAGAGCGCCGGACCCCGTATTGTACAACGAGTGAAGGAAGTATCGGAAAAACTTCGCTGGGAAGTTCCACCCCACCTGCCATATCGACCCGATCTTTTTCTATCAGATAATCACTTTATTCGGTCAATGCAACACAACCTTGTTGGGCGGCGCTGTAGTTCCTATGAAGAAACTTTAAAATGGCTCGATAGAATGAGCAAAACTTTCTCTACCGCTTAAGCCATCTTTACCCGGAAGATCGAAAAGGTGATACTTGCCGGCGGACAATATTTTGAGTAAAATAGAGTGAGTAGTTACTTTAAGATAAACGCTGTTTTATTTTCCTGAAAAAGGACAAGAATTAATTTTTATTTCTAATATAGGCCCCTATGGCTTTCTATTGTATTTTGACGTGAATGCGGCAGACCCAGGGAATGCTAGAAATTTTTTAGGACTAAGAACGCATAGAAGCTTGTCTGAACCTGCCTGACACCAAGCAATGCTGTACAACCTTGACACATGCTGCGATCAGATGGCCAGCCCCATCCCACGCAGCTGCGCCATGCAACGACACATGATCTGCGGAACACGCGTGCCTGGGCTTTAACTACTACCTATGTTGTCAATATCATAAATCATTCGGTGGTCAGATGTGGTTATGTAGCACTACCTGAAATAAACAAACCCCAGCCACCTGTAATATGGATCGGTGGTAATAGGGGTTTTTACAGGTGGGCGGGAAAACGCACAGACGACGAAGTCGAGTGATTATAAGCAAAAGGAAAGCTATTGGGAATGCGCGGTTGTACCTTGAGTGGTTTAGAAATAGTTGTTCTAACCCTTAACCCTAATCCCAACTCCAACAGTATTCTGTCCATCAGGTGGGGCTACATAATGGCACGCCATCCATTCCGTATTTGAATTTCAGGGGTCGTTAACGCTATCTTCACTCAGGTTAGCAAACGTAAGAGATCCGGGTCGATAATCTGAGGAAATAGGAAGTTCTCGCCGGTTGTCTATTCAAAATTCTGGTCGATTTTTGCACTAGACGGTTTGATAACGGAGAGCCGCCCAAGTTAATCGAGACGTCATCAGAACAATTCCCTCGATCCGGTGAGCACTTCCCTTTCCTCAGACTATCTTCACTTAATACGGCCTATGCACTTCGACAAGATGCTTGAAGACGCTGACCGTCTCGGTTTCCGCCACAGTGGTAGAAAGAATTTGCCATTTTTGCGTAGCCATCCGCGTGAAAACTCGGAACTCAGGCTTATTCGACTCGGCTCCCTCTCCGGCTTGCAATGTCGCTCGTATGCACTACCGGTGTGTTGTCGTCGCCGAGCCGCACGATTGTAGAATTTGTAAGCAGGCAAAATGATCGATCCGCGATAACTGCAACACATGGGTGACTTCAGCGGCCGAAGCCCAAGCAAAATGTGAAGCGGCTGATCTGGATTACCACACAAATAACAGCAATCTCCTAAGTAAGTTAGTCTTCAAAAATGGGTATTTGAGTTAAGTTTACAAAGCAACAGTTCATAAGCATTTTCACATTTGGAAATATTATATGGCATCGGTCAGTTTGCACCGAATAATTTGCGTTCATTAGGCTATGGGTAGGATTTCAAACGGTAGTAGTCAAAAGAACGGGGATACATTTAAAGTGCAAACTCTGCCAGGCTTGCCGGTAGAAGCGTACAAGCGAGTTCCAGGAAACAGATCAGAAGAAAAAGAAGAAGAAGAAGAAGAAGAAGAAGAAGAAGAAGAAGAAGAAAAAGAACAAGGAGACGCGACCACTGAAACAAGAAGCTTATTGGCTTGACATTCTGGATTCTCACTCGAACTTGATGGGTTCGAGTCAGGCCAATAAACTTCTCATTCTAGTGATCGCACCTTCTTCTTGTGATTCACCAGGCTCGCTTATAAAGTGAAAGATGGCACCGAAGTAGATAAACCTACAAACGCCACATCCGTTCTAGTGGTCATCACTTTAAAGCGTTAACTGCTGAGGGCGGAGTAACTGCTACCGTAGGATGAACACGTTTCGCCAATTATTGTATCGGGATCGTAGTTACAGTGCGTGACCGATCTCATGAAGTGTTAGTCGAAATTCTGAAAAGCGTTTTCGATAAGGAAGGATTAATTGGGTAGGGTTGTAATACTGACTAGCGTACAGCGTAAGCCTATAGCAGTTCGGACTCAACAGGATGTTGGCTTTTGAATGCACTAATTTTTTGACCGGCTGCAAAAACCGCACTCGATGAAATATGACCTCATAAGCAGCATGCATCTTCCCATTGATTTTCGATGGTCTTATGAATTCAATTATATTTCATAAAAACGTGCAGAAAAATATGCCTTCTTTTACTCGTTTGGTAAAAAATCACATGGTCTTTATATTTTATACGCGAAAAAACTGTATACTCGGGTTTTAAAAAAGGTTTCCCAATTACCAACTAATTTTGAGTCTGATCCACCATTGCATTGGCGTTTAGCAATTTCAGTCTCCAAGATACACGCTTTGGGCGTAAGGGAAATTATACAGTGCATGATCGTTCTCATGAAATGTTGGCCGAAATTCTGAAATTCGTTTTCGATTAGGAAGGATTACTTAGGTGGGATTGTAATATTGATTCGCGTGAGGCAAAATCCTACAGCATCTCGGACTCGCCGGGGTGCTGCCTTTTGGACGCACTTTTTCTTGTCCTCCTGCAAAAACCGTACTTGGTGAAAAAGTGACTACTTAAGTAGAATGCATTTTTATTATGGATTTTTGAGGATCTTATAAATTCAAATATATTTTGTAGGAAACGCGCACAAAATAGGCTTTCTTTTACTCATTTGGTAGAAAATAACATTGTCTTTGCACTTTATGCACGAAGAAAATGTATATTTATGTTTTAAAAAAAGTTTCTAATCGTGAGATTTTTAAGACCGTGCGATGTCTATGCATACGGGACCGAATATGTCCGTATACCAATGCTCCTCATGAAATGTACAGCACAGTCCGGATCCATTTCGAAATTTTAGGAACTCTATATGGTACCTTCTT